CGGAATTTACAAACTTTACAAACATCCGCGACAGTAAAGGAAGTCTGACAGTACCAGAGCTACTGGCTCTTACAAGTTTCCTTAACAAGTGCATTTAAAGGTTAAAAGGTATGTTTCTGTAATGCTAGCTTTAAACACTCAACTTGAAACATCAGAGAAAAGAGCCAGGCTGTTTTCTTCTAAAGGTTTATAAAATCCTGGAGCCAAATTAAGCCTTCGTGGCACGTGTTCTAGCTCCATGCCCTCAGACTACAGTCCCAGTGAAACTCTTGCAATCACTAATAGAATGAAGTTACAGATGAAAATGCACTTTGAGATTACTTAAATACAATAAAATAGAAAATGCTTATTCACATTTCCACAAACAATCCTAACATACTTGTTATCCACCAAAAAGGAATACATGTCATGCCCTGTTTGCATTATTGCTCTGGCCAGCTGGGGATCACCAAGGCTATAACCTTTTCAGAGGAGCCAGTGTAATATTGATTTTGGCATTTGGCTTCTGCTCCACCTTATACAGAAGCTGTCCTATTGATTTTGAAGGAATTATTCGTGGACTACTGGGCATGAGAAGAAAAACAAAGTGAACGTCCTGATTTCTTACTAAAAGTCCACATCAGGCTGCATATGCATCTAACTTTCACAGACATTCAAAACTGAGGATCAAGTTTATATATTATGTACTGCAAATGCTGTTTCAACAATGAGAACAGAAAACATGCAGAAAAGGGAATCTACAAATGGAAAACATGGTTTGGCTAGCTAGATACGTAGAGATGATTAACTATCATTATAGGTAGCAACTGTTATAGAAGACAACACAACCTGCAGGCAAATATGCTCTTGTAAGATACAAAAATCCAAGCTGACATATCCAATTTAAAAATCTGATTTAAACAATAATCTAATTTAGGAGGCAAAGGCTGGGTTTGGTTTGGGGTCTTTCTTTTCTTCAGTTAAATCTATTCAAAAGTTTTCATGTTTAATCTACAAAAACACCTATCTTTACCACCGTACCCTTTCCTAAATTTTGTCCTTGGCCCAGCCCAGAACTGATGAACTTACATTCCTGAAGTTCACAAAACACTTTTTCAAAGTGATCCTGACAGCGTGGTGGTTGTGCTGATTCACTCACTCCAAGAGACAAGTTCGTGTCTTCTGTCTACTCACTTGTCATTGATCTGTGTACTGTGTTCAGTCAATACATCTATATTAGAGTAAGTTATTTCACATGAGCGTCATCTCTTCCGCTAGAATTGAAGTGTTTTGTAAATGAGTGATATCTCAACCCAAGTAGTATTTCTTTTCAGAGATATATATTATCAGCATCTCCATCACTTCCCATTGAATTTCACTGCAGGCAAACACCACCTTATACAGTGTAATTCCCGTGCTCAGAAAGAAAAGGCCTGGTGAAAAAATACATTTTCCACAGAAAACATTCCCCCAAGAGATACTGTATAACTAACCAAACTCTGGTTTGGACACCACTCAGGTTTTATTCAGGAAAAGATACATCCACTCATAGTTTCATCTCAGGTAGGATGAAAGCTTTTCAGAAAGGCAGAGGATGTCAGGGAAAGAAGAGTTACGAGTTGGGCTAGAAATAAGCACTGAATGAGGACAGCCTCAGAGACATTCATATAGTACTCGAATCTTTAACCCTCCACATTTAAGTTGAAAGCGGCCACTGATGTAGCCTATTAGAAATTGGATACAACTCATTACATAAAGGAGGTAATGGTTGCCACAAAAGGAAATAAATGGGAGTCTCCGAAAAAGCGTAGTCCCCAGAAAGGTTACAGTACCATATCACGCTGTGGTACACTGGCAAAGGTAAGTAAGGAAGCTGCTTGCACAGCTTTTACTGCACAATACACCAATTTAGTCCATGCAATCACTCTGTCATTTTTCGAGAAAACATTACAGCGCTTAGGAAGCGCTTGTCTACAATTACCACCCAGAAAGCCGCTGTCATGGCATACAGTCAAAAAAAAAAAAAACTGTTAAACAAAGCTGGCAAACAGAATTGAGAAACTACAGCTAAAAATCAAGCTCAGGTTGTGGGATCTGGCACATGGACATCTGGCATATAATAGTGTTAATGCTGTTCACAGATACTTACAGATGAAATTCCTACATAAGGACAAGAGTAAATCCTGATCGAGAAAGGACAGTATTTTGGGAGAGACGTTTCAGTACTGTAGTTTTACAAGAAGTTTAGTGCTTACATAGTGCAGTTGCTTCCAACATATTTGAGGCCATGAAAACGAACTGAATATTAAATCAGGGAGTTTGCCTTACACCTCTCACATTTTGAGGAGTATCTCTTCCTTTCAGTCTCAGCCTTCTGTTTGGTTATCAGTAATCATTAAACGTCTGATAGCCTGCCTTAGGAAGACCGGCTTGCTTTGTAATTTCTGTTCCTTCTCCATTATTGAATTAAGCAATGAAGTATTTATATGATATGTCTTATTAAAGTATGACAATTTTCACTGATTTTTGTTGAATGAATAATTTCCTAGATGAACAACAATGATTGTAAAATAAAAATATCTCTATTTTGTCTCACTGTACCTTTCTGTTCACTAATGCTGATCAAGTTAGGGATGGAGAAAATACAGTTAAAGAAAAACAGGG